AATTTTTTTTTTTTTTTTTTTTTTTTTGGTTTGCCGACCACCTCCGACCAGTAGGTGCCGACCAGCCGACCGGTCGGCAGGTCGGCAGCCGACCAGTCAAGGGTCGCCAACGGTTGGGGTGTGCAACACTGCCACATGCCATTTTTTCAGTTGATGTGTATTCACTGTTCACTGTTCAGGGTATTTCAGGGAATTGTCAAGTCAGATACAGACTTGGATGTTTGTAGAGACATTCTTTTTAAGCCACATGCCATTTTTCTCCGACGCGGCTGTTAACGCACCGCAAGCTTTCGGGACTCAGCCTACTGGAGAAAAATGGCTGGCGGCGCCAGCCAAAAGAAGGCCCCCGCCGGTTCATTTATTTTTGGCGCTAAGGGCAATTTGAAAGGATTCACGCTGCAGATGTCCCCAGTCCCAGTGCCAGTCCCAGGGTACCAAAGTGTCCCAGTTCCAGACGAGGCTGTCCCAGTAGGGTAGGTCGTAGGGTCCATAGGCTGAAGCATCGTAGGTTGGTAGGTGCCGGCACCGAAACATCACAGGTTGGTAAAAGTGAGTCCGGTACCCGACAAGAAAAGTCCAGTCCAGTCCAGTACAGTCCCAAGTCCTAGTTTTGCAGCATGTCCCAGGAAAGTCTGGAAGCTACCGGGCCCGGCAAAGTGATTGCAGCAGACAAGCTGCGGCCGACCAGTACTGGTCTGAAGCAGGCCAAGCCAAGTCCAGCTCTATATTTGGCTGCTACTGTGCAGCGGCTCATCACTTGTTCAATTGCAAGATGCGGAAGCGCTGCTGCTGCTTGTGCGTTAAGGCAACTTGGGCACCTCTCGCCTGAGGAGGAAAGGGGGCGCTTGAGAGATACTTCATAGTTAGGGTAGAGAGGTAGGAGGTAGAGCGGCCATAGCTGCCAAGTGTGAAGCTCACCTGAGTGGGTGTATCCAGGGTTACGATCTAGGGTAGAGACCGAGGGTGAGGCAAAGCGAGCTAAGCCGAAGAGAAGAGCGAGACTGCATAGAGAGAGAAGCCATAGCCATCATCCGGTTGAGATCAGTTCTGAGCATGTGTGTGTGTGTGCGGTAGAGCCGCTGGAGACACATTTCTTTGTATAATATGATAATTTTGGTGACGGCTTCCACATGTGTTGATTGTATCTCGGCTCCGGCTTCTCACGTGTGAACTCTCGTGTGAATGTTCATTGACGCGTGCGAGGTGAAGCTTGATGAGAACTTGGTTCATTTCAGTTTCCAGGCTCGGCAAGGGACGGGTCAGAAGTACTGGTGGTTTAAACCACCAGTACCTACCACATTTTTCGTACCCCCCGGCCTCGGCAGGCCGATTCGGCCACCGCGTTAATGGCCACCCCAACCGGTAGGTACTGGTGGTTTAAAACTGCAAACTGGAGTCTGATTCGGTTAAGTAACTGG